TTTATTTTTTGTAATGAATTGCAAACCAACTCTTCCTGATATATACAAGGCAATTTAAAATAAAGCTACCCATCAGTACAAAAACACTAAATTCACAGAAATTCTCAATATAATCCTTATTCTGACAGGTCCTGGCAAGCAGAATTTTACATTTCATACCACTCACTGACTCTCAGATTCTATGTGTATATGTTTAACTTGAATGTGCAATCAATTAGACTAAGAATAAGAGAGTTTAGACTTTGTCTATAAGTTCACATTTCAATAACAACAATAAAACGATAAATTTATAAAATAATTTCACATGCAAATAAGTGGTAGGTCACAGTATTTTAATATTTTCTATGCATGCTCTCAGAAACTTGTTGGATTTGTTAGAATTCAAAGTAATACCTACACTATTCATTATACAAAAGACAAAACAGAGTTTTATTTAGCTTTAAGGCCTTTTCTAAAGAGTATACACAGCAAAGTAAAAAAAATATGAACTATCTTAAGTAGATCACTATTTTAGAGAGCAATTTATAATGTAACGTCAAACTGGATGCTTGAGAGAGCTTTGCCTATTTACCTTTTAAAATATTATCTTCCTGGAGATACCCCCAAAGTATCTGAGTAAGCTCCCATCACAGGCATTGTGTTAAGTCCCACTGAGATTTTGCTAGGTGCACATGGAAACATGACTATAGTTTCTACATAACAAAGGATAAAACTTTAATTGTGAATGCTGTTTCTAGTTCACATAAATTAAGTGTATGGAACAAAGTAATTTCCCAACTTAGGCTATAAGCACACATCACAGGCTAAAATCAGGGTGATTTCAGAGTGTTGTAAAGTGTAATCACATTTTACTCTAATTTCTACTTGTTTAAGATATAACTGGAGCTATGAAGAAAAAGCCATTTCTTGGTAACTCCATTTAAGTCTGTCCTTTCCTAGGACTTAACTGTGGATGTGCATTTTCTGTTGTTTTCAGAAATCAGTCTCCTGGAAACTCAGGATGCAGAAGAATCTGACTATCAATTCTGAAGGTATTTATTTATGGGAAGTAATGAAACTATTAAGGCATTTCTCTGTCATTGTATTTTCTGTTAAAACATTAAAGGAAGAAAGGGTTGTTTAGAAAACTGCATTTATAAATCTGTAAAGTAGACTAATTTGGACTCTTTGGTTCATATCTAATCCCCATGACATTTGCAACTAACTGTCTCAAAACAAAACAAAAAATTATCTGATATTATTCTATAGAATATGGGACTTCATTCTCAAATAATATGTACCCTATCCAAAATGCTGTCTTGTTCTTTCAAAAGATTATTCTTGACTATACCTTATTTTAAGACATTATTCAGTCCTTATAACTTTTTCAATGTTTTTATTCTTAAAATAATGACTCTATTATATTTTACTTCAATGAGGACATTTACTACATCTTTTGAGATGCATTTAACTCATATATAACTTAAAATCTGAATGATGCTTGCGTTGAATTTGAGACACTTTAGTAATAATTCATTATTTCGATGACTAAATTTTAGTCATCCCCCCTCGCCTGCATTTAGTCTGAGTACAATTCAGACACTTAAAGAAACACTTTTATTTTTAAAACAATCAAAATTTCTCAGTCTGACCTCCTCATTATGCCCGAATCTAGGTATGTGCTTTGAAAGCTTTCAGTTCTATCAGTGTTTCTATGGACTTGGTCAGTGAAGAATGAAATGACTACATTTTTGCCTGGGAAGAAATTTCTTCAACAAAACAAATCAGAAAAAAACTATACATCTCTCATGCAGATAAAATTATCAGTTACTTAGAAGTATATTTTAAATTTTAGTTATTCATTCTTTTGAATTTACAGAGTGCAATAGCATTTTGTTGAGAGTAGGCAAACACAAAAAGCGTCCTTTAAAATTATTAACACATATACATTTTTAAAATACACTGGGGTGAGTCTCCCAAACAGGCAGCACAGGTGACCGATGAAACTTTGTACAGGTTCAACAACCTCATCACAGGTTAATTAATTAATTGTTAATATCTGCAACTATCAGTGGCCAGCATTCGTGCTCTGCAAAGTCCTGTGGCCCTTTTCACCTTAGCTGAGACTTGGAAGAAATTCATTGTATAAGCAAGTATCAAGTAATGTGGCCCTCTGGTGGAAAACGAAGTACCACGTTCTGCAGCACAATGCCAGACAGTAAGCTAGAAGCTGGAAAAATATTTGTTACAAAGCTTTACAGAACCAATCTAGAGAAGAAAAAAAAACTCACCCTGTGAACTTAATTAATATCCTGACACCTGAAGGACACTCAGGTGCAGCTATGACGTAACTCATGAAAGCCCTCTCTTCACTCATCCTTCAGTCTTGTTCCCAATAACAATAAACTCTCAGCATCTGCTAGCTTAAAACAACATAGTCTATTGGCTACGAATCCATTTTTCAGGTTCAGAGAAGCAGGCGGGTATGTTTGAAGAAAGCATCGAGGAAAACACAACTTACCTGCTGTTGTTGCAGATGCAGAAGCTCCGCTGTGCTTACTTCAGAGCTGGTGTCACCACTTGATCTCCCATCTCTGCTGCCAGCATCTAATTGGCTGCTTAGAGTGCTCATTCCATTTTGATTCATTGAACTGTTGCTTATTGTCTCTGTCGCAGATTCCTGCATCATGACTTAATACCTAAAAGTGATTAAGAAGTATCAATTAACACACGTTACACCTTCACACTTCCATTATCAAGATGTCCCTCTCTGCCAATTACACAGGCAGCATCATTGGGGGGGAGTGTGTGTGTGTGGGGGGACTTGAATAGTCATTTATCCAGAAAAGCCATGCAAATTCAGCTTTCATTGAGACACTAATCACTGAAATTATGGTTTCTATAAGTAATTTTTGTGTGGTTACCTTTAACAGCCAAAGGAACATACCATGCGTGGATCATGGTCAATAGCATTTATGAATGACCAAATTTTAAAGTCTATCTATAAAACCAGTTTAAATGAAGGCACGATTACACATTCTGTTCTGTTTCCTATTATCTACCTTTGACAACCATGGATGACTATACAGCCTTATTTTAAATATTCACTATCTTGATTCTGTCAGAATTTTACAGCACATCTTATGCAAGGCTGTTGTTTAATGATGCACAGCTAATCATACAAAATTAAAATTTTGTAAGGGTGTTACAAATCATATGGTATCAACCAATGATAAATAGTATAATGGGCTTCTTTTTTTTTTGGTGACTAAATAAAAATTTGCCTTGGAGGCATTTTAAGAAAAAGCTCCTGCTGCAAACACGTCAGATATTGCCTATTTTTTTAATCAAACAGCTCATATTCATTTATTTTTCTGACATTTAAAACATTTAATACTGTCCTTCCTGGGAAGTAATTAAGCTTATGCATGAGCAGCAATCAAACTGTTCACTTGAAGATGACTTAAAACTCAATTTTAACATAGGCAAATAAATGAAAGATATAAAATTAATTTTCCAGGCATGTATTAGATATGAAAGCTGGAAATAAAATCTATCAAGAATATCACTAATGATTGTGCTAAAAACAGCATAAATTATGCATATTACCTTCTCTACAGTAATAAATGTTTTATCATTTTCACTGCATAAATATACTGTACTTCCAGGATAGGAATGAGGTATCCTGCCAAGATCAGTGGAAATCCGTGCAGTAAATAAAGAGCCAATGTGCTCTTACAACTGGAATTTCAGAGCACCTCTCCAATGTGAGCTTTCGAGGGATCAGTATGGCTCTCAAAAACATGAATCCCCTGCCATAGTCTAATAGACACTCTTCTCTCCTCTCTGTCTACGGACAGAATTTCAGGAATCAACCTGATTGTGTTGGGACTTCCACAGGAGTGCTAGCCAGACAGTTGACTTAGCCCAAAGTAACGAGGATATTAAACTCAATGTTCAGTTTTGTATGTGTGTGTGTGTGTGTGTGTGTGTGTGTGTGTGTGTGTGTGTGTGTGGAAGTTTTACTATTTGCATTGGATCTTATTTTATTTAAGACTTATGTCCATTTAAAATTTTGTGATGTATTTATTGCACTGTTAATAAATTTAATATTTCTTTCTGTCATAGAAAAAACCTTTTCCTCAAATACCTTGCAAAATGTAACCCATGACCATATATACACATTAGTCACACACATAAGCTCAAATACATTACCAACAGATAGAAATGAATGCTATTATAATTATAAAAATCAATTGCTGCGATAATTTTCACAGCTATTTTCATCAACTGCTAAAGTATCATATTATTTCCATAATTCTATAAAGTCAGTGAATACACGTACTAGTTTAACTAGCTGGATCAATAAATCAAGTTGGTATTACAGAAACTACACATACAACTCAGAACTGCTCTGATGAAAGAAGAATTACAACAACATAAAAATATGAACTTAAAAGGCACTTGTGATAACTATACAGCAAACAACTTTTGAACCAAGTGAGTTTGTGAATAAATAGGTTTTTAAAAACATTTTATTTAACATTAGCAAAGAAAAAAATCACACACATGAAAACTGATACACACTGATGGAGTTTTAGAAAAAAACAAAGCTAATATTCTTTTCTGAGATTAGGCGGCTAATAAGTATTCAAATTAGGCATAAATTTTACATGCACAATGTTTAAAATATTCAGAGAAAGGGGCTGATTGCCTTTACTAGTTAGATGAGAATTATAATTTCAGTCTTCTTCAACTACAGAAACAGATAACTTTTCCATATTACATTTAAATTTTACTATGAACGGTAAACCTGGAATAAAATGTTTATAAATATATGGTTTTCTTTTATCATTCAAATTTATATGAAATGTTTATTATCTCAGTCTGGAATTCCCAACACAAAGAATAAAAATGGATAGCTGTTTTTTTCAGATGTAGCAGGCAGGTGCAGCATTTGATACTAACCTTTGTGTTTTATGTCAAGATCAATCAGATGAATTAAAGAATTCTGCACATATCACTGTTATAATCGAGGTCATCAAATAATTAAGAATAATCCACAAGCAGAGAGTCATGTGTCTAAATCTTTATTACAATAATGAAGAAAGACCTATATAACTTCCAATTCCTATTAACTAAAGGATTTTAATATCCCTTGTGGAATTTTTGATTTTATGAAGCCCTAGAGTATAAATTGTGATTTACATTTAACTTCAGTCACCTAAGACTTAGTAAAATTATGCTTAAGAAAATTGTGATAGCAATAGTAGTTTTGCTCTACAAAACAGGGCAGTCAGAACCAACTGTCAATATTGAAAATGGGGTGAGGGGACAGGGAGCTGTACAATAAGATGACAATATTCTTTGCACATGAAGAAGAGAAACTGGTGTGTCCACATTGAATGAGACATTTCTGCAAGGATGGTAGAGATTATTTCTTTTGTGTTTACTAAGTTTTTTTTCCTAGTCACCCCTGCACACTTACACCTCACTGGAAGAAATTTTTCTGGCACAATGTGAAATGTTGTTTACATTTTAAGTATATTTTAAATAATTATAAATTCACCATATTCTTTCAGAGTGGATGTGCTTATGATCCCAAACATACCAAACTAAATTATTCATCCTTTTCAATCCTATCACAAACATTTTATAAAAATCAGCGAAAATAAATTCCAGATCATTAAGGGGAAGTTGGGTTTGGGAGCGACTGTCAACATAGTCTGAACTATACATTCAACACTGAAGACTTTCCATCAGACACAGCTTTGCAGCCACATCAGAAATGAACACTTCAGATCTTGCACTGAATACAGTTTTACATTTCTCTCCTGCATTAAGTTTTCTGTCTTCTCTCTCTTGCATTTTTTTCTCCGCAATCCACTATACAGATACTTTTTCTCTACACCACTTCCCTTTTGAAACATTAAACTGACACTGGAACTGACTGCACAAGATTGCATTTTCTCTTCCTAAACAAGTTGAATTGAAAGGTTACTTAGTGTAACAATATTTACTTGCAGAATTGTGTTGTTACCAAGGGTATAATGGATGGTGGCTATGCAGGTTTACGCAAGAATGAGTGAAGCATGAGGCATTAGCCATGTGTTTGACATGTTTCAAATTGCTATAATCCAGCATTAAACACACCCAGCAATTCATGCCATTTCTTGCAGCCATAATCTTGAATAAAGCGTGCACAACCACTTATTATATAAATTAGTATATGACTCCCTGTTATAGTCACAACAGTGCTTTTGTGTTTATTTTGCATCAAGATGTAGTCTTTTATTTGTACAAATAGCAGGATATAAAGACATAGCTCAATTAGACCTCCTTACTTTATGATAGGGTAGTACTGAATGGTACACTTGTTGGTTTTGTTTTTTCCTCTTGAAGTTATAGATGCATTTGGTATGAAACGGTACTGTGTGAGACAGCTATGTGCCAGGGTGATGACAGAAACCTGCATGCATCCTATTCCACATTTGCCGCTCTGTTCCAAAGTGTGAAGCTTGACCTGGGTGAGTAGAGTTAATTGTCTTATCCCAACTACCACCAGGGACACTATTGGTCCTTGTTGCTTACTAAACTCCTTTTCTCTCATGTCTTCTATCTCAAAATTTCTCTCCTTCTCAGCTCCCTTGCATTTCTTGCTTCTACCTCTCTTTCACTATACAGCCAACTGATGCCTTAAGTTTGTGTGAATATATATATTCATTCATGAGTAGTTGATCAGTCAATCTAACTAGCATCTCAGATACAGTAAGAAGGAAAACGTAACCTCCATGTCATATAACACATTCCTGTCAACATATATAGAAATCCTGTCTCATGATTGAGACCTTTATTGCTATTAAGGTCACTTTAATGGTAGATTTCTCTTTTGTTTGCCACACTAAGGTTTAATAAAATCAAGTAAGTGAAAAATCAATAACTTCCTGAAAAATTAAGAATAGTAATACACATAAAAGCATAAAGGACTTTCTATTTTCTTAAAACTACTCATAGTGATAGCAAGAGAACCCTACATTCAGTCTCTAATTAATTTGTTTCAGCATCTAATTTATTTGTGAAATCATGCTCACTAAATCAAAAGAATTTTGCTTTTCATGCAAGGTATAAACTACTATATTAAAACATCCTCTCTTATTTTTAAGCCTTCTGTATTTAATCATTTCAAAAATTTTAGTATTAAAGTCACCTAATATTTGCAAGTGGATTAAGAAGAGAATAGGTAATAAATAGATACATAGGCAATAAGAAGCTAAGTTCATTTGCTTCTGAATTTAGCTAAATTCTGATCTGAAACCCTGACTATATTGTGAAACTTTTGAAAGAAACTAGCATTTAAATAATGATAACTTTTGTGCGCTAGTAGAATTAATTCTTCTTGGACTTCATGCATAGTGCATTTGAAATCCAGCACTGCTTTGCTTAGTTATTTAATGCTAAGATTGCCTAATAAATCAAAATGACAAATATGAAGGACATACTTGAATGTATAAGTGAAAAAATTGAAAATGTACATGACTGGTTCTAATTACTAAGACAGGAACTGGGTGCTCTCAGGAACATAATTTAGAAGAATCCAGAAAAAAGTGATATATTTATTATAACAAAAGACATGATTATAAAAAAATATATGATTTCAAGTAAATTTAAAAGCATTTCTCATTTTTCTTAGATGTGAACA